GAAGTGGGGGGCGGTGGGATGGCGGGCAGTCGCCTAGAGCAAGTTACTGAAATTTAGTCAACATTTGGCGCAAACGGTGAAAGAACGACTGGGGCATTCGAGTGGGGAGGGCCTGGAACAGGTAGAGGAATTTGGGTAAAATTGTAAAATAAGGGGGCATAATTCAAGTTGTATAGCCGCTCGCAATCTGCAGCGAGATAAGTTCCCAGATATTTCAGTTTATCAGTCGACCAAGGAAAAAGAAAGTTAGAATGTACATGTGAGACTTCCGATGGCGGTAAGGAGATATTCAGGGAGCGGATTTAGAAAGTTTTATTTTGAAGTTGGAGAGGGAAAAATACGTCTCAAATTCCTTTAATAGGGTAGGCACAGACAAGTGGGGGCAGGAGATAAAGAAAATCAGATCGTCCGCGAAAGCAGCCAGCTTATGTTCGCCAGAGCCCTTGACCAACCTCTGAAAGGATTGCTGAGACCTGAGGTGATACAAGAACAGCTTCAAGTTGAGAATGAAAACAATCGGTGAAAGAGGGCAACCTTGTCTCTTGTCATTAGATATGGAGAGAAAGTCAGATCTGGTCTCGTTCACACAAACAGTAGCTGATGGACTCAATAGAGCGCAGTGATCTTTCTGAGCATTCCGGGTCCCAGGCCCACATGATGAACCGTAGCCCAGAGAAACCTCCACTCTAACCGGTCCCACGCCTTTTCCGCATCCGTGGAGAGAAGCATCAAAGGGGTCGAGGTGGAACAGGTGGACTTAATCACATTTCACACCCTAGTGGTGTTGTCGCTGATCTCCCTCCTGGGGAAAAAACCCACCTGGTCGGCGTGAACGAGAGGAGGAATATGGGGTAGGAGCCTGTTCATCAGCATCTTTATGAAAAGCCTCAGGTCCAGGTAGAGGAGAGTTATCAGGCGGTAACTACCACATTGGCAAGGGTCTTTGTCGGGTTTAGGAATGACCACTATATTCGCACACAAAGAGTCAAGAGAAACTGACAAGCCCAAAAGAATAGAACTGTAGGCTGTCAAGAAGTGGTACGCAAAAAGATGGGAGAACAGTCTATAATGAGGAAACGTGTACCCATCATGACCCGGTGCCTTACTCGTTTTAGTCCCCAGGATTTGCGCTCTCATTGCCTCATTTCTAAATCCCAGAGTCCCTGAGGTACTGAAGAAGGATAATGGCATTGTTCACTGCACTGCTGACAATTCCAACCATCTTTTTTTGGGTTTTACTCAGTGGTAGATAAAGTCAACAAGGGGGCCCTGCACAGAAAAAGTATTTGCCACCCCCCACCCTGTAATTCAATAATAATCGCATTACTGTGAAATAATAAGTTTAAAATTAACCCAAAAAATGACAAAGCTTTCAAAACGGACAATAGCAAGAAAAAAAAGCACTATTTGCACATATAATGCTCAATAATCACATGTAACATATCAGCTCAATTCATAAAAACATAGTGAGGGGAATTTATCAAAACTGGAGCAGACAAAATCTGGAGCAGGTGTGCGTGGCAACCAATCAGCGTCTCTGTTTTATTTTCAGATCTTAACCGTACAAACTGAAGATTGAAGCTGATTGGTTGCCATGGGCAACTGCTCCAGTTTCTGTCTGCTCCAATTTTAATAAATAACCCTCAATATATGCAATACTTTTAGTACTGTGTATAATTAGCTTTTTTTAAATGAAAATTAGTTTTTTAGTTGACACGAAAAGTATTACCGCACAGAACACATACCTTTATTACATATGCTTATTGTGAAAAGCCAGTTCAGAAAGATTATCAAATGGATTATCACTCCTTAAAATACTGCTAGCTTCAAAATGATAAAAATTTTCAGCAATGAAAGCAGGTAAAGGAGCTGCTTGAGGTGGTAAATAATGGTGGTAATGAATTTAGCTGGCCATACACTGTTATATTTTCTTTCTTCAACCTGCGGGCTGAACGGAGAAAATATAACAGATTTCTCCATCCATGCTCACGAGCGTTACAAGCGTGGATGGAGGAATCCCCTGCTGTATTTATTGTATTCTGACAGTGGCCGCTGGCTGATTGACTGCAAGCTCTGTTCAGCCGAAAATTTTTCATCCTGCTCCTTCGATCTTCTGATCAAGGAATGCAGGCCAGAAGGGTGCCACTATCAAGAAAAGGATGATTTTGCTTAAAGGAGAACTATGGGGTTAGGGCTTTTCCCCATAGTTCTCCTAAGGGTAATGGGAGGACACAAACTAGCGTTCTCCCATCACCCTAAGATCAGTATACTGAGACGCCGCAGCTGAAACAGATCCCGACAATTATGTCTGGATCCGCCCAGCTGGGTGAGTGACAGCTGGCTCTGCTTATCTAGAGGCAGAGCACAGCTGTACCCGCCCCCTCCCCCGTCCGTTCCGCCAGTCAGCGCTGGAGGATCGGACAAGGGAGTGGGGAATCCAGTCCCTCCCCTGTCACGGCTCTCTGCTGTGACAGGATCGAGAAGTTAGCGAACACCGGTATGTGTTCGCTCACCTCCCGATCTACTGAGCCGACCTGTGACAGTTTCATTGTCACAGGTCGGCTAGAACTATGAGGATGAGTGAAAAGCACTCGCCTCATAGTTCTCCTTTAACACTTTAGGCTAAACTCATTACCTTACTAGTATGTAGTAATAGTACACGCTATTAATAATACAAGGCATAAAAGCACCTACACTTTGTCAAGGTCAGGAGCACATGGAACCAAATTCTTTGTCCAATTCCTTGGGTAAAAATATGGAGGAGCAAATACGAACTGGGTTTGGCAGCCATATGTAAAAAAACAATCAGTAGGCCACAGTTGGCCTTTCTGATAAATACCAAACATCTTTTTCTTTCCACTCAGAATACCCAGCTCCACATAAAAGAGAGACATACTACTAATGTATGTACAGTATCTTCTTGTACAGAGGGCAATGGTGTCAGTCCCAACTGAGGTACAATGTTGTATGTAGGGATAAGCTCGGGTTCAGACCAAACCCAGTCCAAACCTGAGTTCCTCGAAACATGGAACTTCCACCCAATTAGTTGTGGTATGGGCATTCTCCACCCCACAGCTGCATATAAACAAAGGGGTGGAATTCTTGTGCTGACGTCAGAGCCACATAGCCATTTTTGGTAAATGTAATTTACCAAATATAGGCATGTAACCGTTTAAGGTCCATGATGTCACTGCATCTCACCCCTTTATTTACATCAAACTGTGGGCAGGGAATTCCCCAGTAGCAGATAATTGGGTTTCCTTCTGTGTTAGGGAGATGCTCCTTTCAGGTTCAAAGAGGCTCACGTCTCAATATGGCTGCTCGCTTGCGGCCATATTGAGTGAGGCAATTCAGATTAATAATGTGCTGGATTCGTCTGACCCTAGTTCATTATAATACTTTATTGCTGTGCAGTATGTGTATAGGGAAATGGCGCCAAACCTCTTACTTCTAACTTAACCTGGAAATCAGGTCGTTGGAGATCTCGACGAGTTGGAACTTTCGATAGAACACCAGCAATATCTCCTCTTGCGTGTGCCAGTGGCCAGTTCACGGCTTCCACAAACTACCAGAGCATAACCTCTGACAATCGTTAACCCTTTCACATACCAGTCACTGACATGGGAAGTCAAAAATTAGACAGAAAGGGGAAGGGGTTAAAAAAGGAGTGAGAAGACTTTTATGACAGGATAACACAGCCAGCACTATTTTAAGAAATCCTCCTGAAACTTTTCAGACACAGAGGACTGTCGCTGAACTGACATAAGTGTGTGGATTTGAATGCGTCTTATCGCTATTTGTATCCATTTGTATCCATCTGGTCGCAAATACTTATAGTCGCAGCAGTGGTGTAAAAAGGACGCAAATGCGGAACAATCATTTGTCCCTTTTCAGCATTGTTTTACAAGATGTGACTGTAAAAAAACACAAACCCTTTGATAAATTGCTCCCATAGTGTCTCTCACCATTTTTAAAGATTTCCATAATAATAAGGATCTTTTTTGTCCTCTAGAGGGGGTTAGGCATCTATTAATGCAGTGGTTCTCAACCTGTGTAACCTCAGGACCCACATTTGTCCTCGGTCATTAAGTCGTGACCAAGTCTCACTGCAATGGAATGCATGGCATTGCAGTAACACGCATCCACTTGTACAGCTCCCTTGCACACACTGTAGAGGTGCCAGGAGCCAGAATGTGACATCACTCCAGTCCAGGCACCTCTACAGGGCACACGAGGGAGCTGTAAGCAATCCACACATGAATGGAGCTCCCTTGCGGCCATAGCCCTAGCCCACCCCACCTCAAGCTGACACTCAGCACCGGGCAGGATATTTGAATGGCTGCTCAGCATGAGAACTGACAGTGCTCTGTCAGGGGGAGGCTGAGGAGCCTCTCACCTACAAAAGTGGATGACATGTAGCGACCCACTGAACACGCGGTTGCAACACTTTTGGACCACGACCCACCAGTTGAGAACCAAGGTATTAATGTGATAGGAGGTGAACTATTGAGGGGGTTCGGTGTCTAATAACATGAGAGGAGGTGCAATATTCACTTTGTCTTCCAGAAGGAGCTAGGTGATTTAAAATGTGATAGGACATGTAATATTCCCTTGGTCCTCTGGAGGGGGTTAAGTGTTTTATAATGTGTTAAGACATGCAGAACCTCTTCTGTCCTCTAGAGGGGGTTAGATGTGATAGGCGATACAATATCCACTGTGGTGTATCTCAAGGCTATGCTGCACACTCCTTGGTGCACGGCATAGCACACACAGATGTAAGTGAATTCTTTTTATGTGGTTTTAATTTAATAAAGATATTTTTACGCAATATACGCACACCTCTTTCCTTGTCTCTTATTGCTGAGGTCATGAGGTGCATTAAAGGACAGCTATGAGGTGAGTGATTTACACTCAACCTCATATTTAGAGCCGAAGTGTGACAATGAAACTGTTGCACGTCTGTTCTATAGATCGAGAAGTGAACAAACACATACGGTCGTTCGCTCATTTCCTGATAATCTCCCTGCAGAGAGCGGTGACTGTCAGTTACAGCTCCCTGCAGGGTTTCCCCACTCCCCAGCACTGACTGGAGGAAAGGACGCGGGACGGGGCAGGCATAGCTGGCTCTGCCTCTAGATAGGCAGAGCCCACTGTCAATCAGCCAGCTGGGTGGATCTTGACAGTATTGTCGGTATCCATCCTGGCTGCGCGCTCTCAGTATATAGCTCGCAATAGCCCGCTATACACTGAGCTTTGGGTCACGGGAAGACATATACTAACGTCATCCCATGAGAAAGAGAACTATGGGATAAAAAGGTTACCCAATAGTTCCCTTTTAAGGAAGGATTTGACAGCTGCTACTCCCTAAGGACCCTATGTACTGGGAAGTGTCCTTTCATCAAATACCAACTTTTTCATCAAACACTTAAAGCAGAACTCTGGGAAACACTTTTATCAACCCTTGCATTAGGGCTACGCAAGCACTGCAAGGGTTAACTGCTCATTTGTGTCTAGTTACTAAAATAAAAAAGGTATACTCACCTGAACCTAGGAGCCGGCTGTCTGTCACAGCGCTCCTTCCAGCCTCTCTCCTCCTATGCTGCAGTAATTGTATGTCCCTCAGTGTCCTCATGTCCAATACATGACTCAAGGGTCCTTAGGCCGCCGTAGCAGAGGGGTAGTGTAGCTAGAAGAAGCGGTATAAGAGCCACCCAGATCCGAGGATCACGTGAGTATAACTTCTTTATATTAGTCCCTGGACGCAAATAAGCAGTTAACCCTGGCAGTGCTGGGGTAGCCCCACTGCGAGGGTTAATATAAAAGTTGCCTGGAGTTCTTCTTTAAGGCCTTCTTAATATTAAAGGGTCCTTCGCATCTGGTGAGTGTGTGTTTTACATAAAGGTCTGGAGGGAAAGACTACTTAGGTTTTGGCACATTTGTGAAGATCTACACAGAACAGCACGTTATTCACACAGTGGAGGACAGACTGTTATCTAGTGTTTTTGGAACTTTTTAATTGAATTTCTTCAACATATAAATTGTTCTAATGTGAATATGTTTGATTGCTAAAAAAAGTTTTCACATATTTATTAATCAGTCGGCACTGCATTTGTTTTGTTATGGAAGTCAGGGTACCTAACTAGAAACCCCTGCAACACCAGTTTGAGGATGTGTACCAGGCAAGGCATGTGTGTGAACTTTTCTTACCGAAGGGCAGATAACAGGTGTGTTCTGTTTTCCCACACACCCTTTGGTGATGGTGTCAGTCACCACTCGTACTGCCCCTGAAAAGCTGAGAGACTCCAGTGTGGCTCCTGCCCCCTGGCAAAGCGCCATTGGTTCAAGCTGTCCAATCAAAAAAAGAAAAGAAAAACACTGAGGCCATCGCTCTCGATGCCTCAGGGCAGGGAGGCTCCACCCTGTCACCTACCTTCGTCCTCCCTCCCTACTTCACACTAGCTGGGGCTTCGCCGGGATGGGGGTGGTGCTTTGGCGGGATATTGGCAGGGCTTCGGCGTGCTGGGGGCGGGACTGGAGAATGCCTCACCAAGAAGCAAAGGTACCGTTCAGATTTGCCTACAAAATATCTGATACTATGCTTCCCATTATACTCTATGGGCATTCCGTTTGGCTTCATTATAGTCTATGGACATTCTCTTCCCCTGTCAAAGTATATCGGCATTCCATTCTGTCATTCCTTTTAGTAGGCCCCATCATGTTATTCACATATATATGAAGGACAGAACAGAAATGGAGTGAGCTTTTCAGGGAGATATACAAATTGTATATCTCCTTTATATTTCTTTTTTATTTTCTCACCTCCAGTGAAGCCCGTGCTGTGTGACATGTCACGCTATGCGGGCCGGGGCTGGGGGAGGAGCTAACTTTAGCATGCGTTCGTGCAGATCGCATAGGACAATACGTTATGGCATTGCCGTATGCGGTCGCTGCCATAACGTATTATTCTATGCAATCCGATCGCAATTTTCTGCGGGCAGCGGGCTCAAGGGGCAGATGCTCTGGGCCCCACAACCTTGATTGGGCCCAGGGCAAGTGCCCTCTTTGCCCTGCGTTAAAAACGGCCCTGTATATAATATACCAAGCATTGAGTGCAGTGTCAAACCTTCTGCACTCCTCTCTGTACATATTGCCCTCCAAGACCAAACAGTGATAAGAACACAGCTGCACTCTATCTTCCAGCATGTGAATCTTAAAGGGACATAAATAAATACATTTACTTAATTACATCCACCTTATCACATAAAATCAACCAGTTATTAAAAGAGAACTATGGCCAAACCTTCTCTTTGGAGTCACAGGAGGACATTTACTAATGTCCTCCTGTGACCCAAAACTCAACAAATAGCGGGCTATTGCCCGCTATATGCTGACAGCATATAATTACAATCAAATAATTGTTAGAAGTTTCAACCCTTTCCCACCCTACTAAAAAATATTTGTCCCCTTTTGAGAATTGTCACATCAATTCCTGTCCTGACAGGAGGTGAAATTAATGTTTCTAAGGACAAAGCAATAAAACATGATGAAGGCCTTTTGCTGATCTATCCAAAGCAAAAATAAAAACTTTTGGTTGTTAAACTCATACAACCAAGTGATTAAGTGCACAGTTATGTAAACTACTTTTTAAAGAAAATTGCCAGCTCATGGGTGTAAATAATGTTGGCTACCAAAAATGATTCTTATCCATGTGACAATGCATTTGTGTAATAGCACGCATATAGCCATGTTTCCATAACTGTCTGTGTAGATTATTATATTATAAATTCAGGTCTGCTTATACTACACACAATTTTTTTAGTAAATCCCCATAGAATGTTTTGAGAGCCTTACCTTATGAGTGCATCACAAGATAGGAAGAGGATGGTCAATAGCAGTGAACGCATGATGAAGAAAGTCTCCGGGCTTCTTGCTTGATTGCCTTCTTGTGTTCTTGTATCACATATATATTTCAACTCTTATCTAGCTACAGTCTATTTTGTTCTTTTTATATTTAACACCTATAATTTCGCATCATTACTTTATCTGATAGTGTTGTTGGATAAGCCTTTTTTAATGCAGCCTTTAAGTATGTTCTATCTTACTCTTTATATTCACCTAACTGCCACTGACGTTAATTTTTGTTTATCCTTTAGCTCTCTCTCTGACTCTAACTCTCACTACTTTGATTATTCTGCTCTCTTATATATAACTCTCTGAAGCTCACCAAGTTGGTAGGGCTGTTCCAGTCTTCTCTGGATAGAAAATGTTTTAGATATTGGCTTAACCTTCGTCATTGTAATAACATATACGTCAAAAGATGATACCCATGGGAATACACTTAAACAAATAAATAAAACATTTTAAGAAACAAGAGAGACAGCATGTTAAACAGGAAAGGCTAGACACAACCCAGAAACCATAGCTATCATTAAAATCTGCAGACCATCAATCTCAAAACTCATACAAAATAATATATTGAGTAATTCATTGTAAAACTTTATTCCAGAGGAATAATTTGTATTCTGAATATTTTATTCTATTACGCAGAATCTTGCAGTGGCAGTAGTTACATAGAACCATATATAGATAGTAGTGATAGGCAAATTTGCTTGAGTTAAGTGCACAGGTGTGTTTGGCGAAGATGCTGCCAACCTCAATGCGAAACCCCACTGAAGTCAATCAGAGGTTCAGTGTTAAAAATGAATTCTCTAGGCTAAGGACTCGAAACGGCTTTGCACGGTCGTTTCGGGCAGCTCCTGGGAAGGGAGGGTGCTGCGTGTGATTAGCACGCAGCCCCTGTCCTTCTCTATGGGAATACGCGGCCGTACGCCACCCTACGCTCACCCGCCCTGCACGTCCGTGTGGGTGCGGGTGCCCGTACTCGTACGCTGACAGGATGGATACTGTCTGCATCCAAGCCGGGGCACCAGCACGCATACGGACCTGCTCTTGGTGTGAGCGTAGGGCGGCGTACGGCCGCATAGTCCCATAGAGAAGGAGAGGGGCTGCGTACTAATCACATGCAGCACCTGTCCTTTCCGGGAGCTGCCCAATACTAATACTAATTTCTGACACCACAAACAAAAACAAAACAAGCAACGTGGGGTCCCCCCTAATTCCTACCAGACCTTCTAGGTCTGGTAGGAATGTTAGAGGGGACCCCGTGTAATAATAAAAAAAAACAACAGCCTGCAGTTCCCTGGTAATTCATACCAGACCCTTTAGAGGAACCGCCAACACCAAAAATGTAAAAAAAAGATGCCACACCCCCTTGTGAATAAGTAAGGGGTACTTGTACCCCTACTCATTCACTAAAGGGTTAAATAAAATGTAAATAAACACACCACACTTTAGCAAAAAATCCTTTAATTAAACAAAATACAATTTTTTTTACAATTCCTTTATTTAAAATAAATAAACTAAATGTCCCACAAAGTCATTCCAGCGTCGGCCAACAATTGGAAAAGCACCCCCAAAAACTCCCCGATGCAATGTTTACATTGAGCAGTGGGCAGAAATAAACAAAGCCTGCTACTGGCTATTTAAAATTAAAGTACACAATAGCAGGCTGGGTAATGCTCCGCCCACTGCCTGATGTCAGTCACAGAGGAGTGGAGATCCTCAGCAGAGGAGCGGACCTGAAAGAGAACTTTCTCTTCAAGTCCGCTCCTCTGCAGGAGCAATAGCCATTCTATTATTGGCTATTTTAAATTGCAATAGCCAATAACAGAATGGCTAATGCTCCGCCCACTGCCTTCTGTCAATCAGCAGAGGAGCAGACCTGAAAGAAAACTTTTTGTCTCAGGTCTGCTCCTCTGGGACTCACAGAAAGCCGTGGGCGGGGCAATAGCCAGCTTGCTATTAGCTATTGCACATTAGAATAGCCAATAGCAGAACGGCTACCTCCCACTGCCTTCTGTCAGTCCCAAAGGAGCGGACCTGAGAGAGAAAGTTTTCTTTCAGCTCCGCTCCTCTGCTGATTGACGCTGGAATGACTTTGTGGGACATTTTGTTTATTTATTTTGAGTAAAGGAATTGTCAAAAATTCGTGTTTTGTTTTTTGTTCAATTAAAAGGTTAAGGTGTGGTGTTTTTATTTACATTTAATTTAACCGTTTAGTGGATGAGGAGGGGTACAAGTACCCCTTGCTTATTCACAAGGGGGGTGGCATCTGGGTGCCCCTTTTTATGAAATGGGGTACCCAGATGCAGATTGCCTACAGACCCCCACAACCACCAGGTCAGGGATCCCATTGTATTTTTACTTTTTTGGCATTGGGGGTTCCCACTTAAAATTATTACCAGACCTAAAGGATCTGGTATGAATTGCCGGGGACCTACGCTGTTTTTGTTAAAATTATTATTATTGTGAACAGTTAAACACTTTTGTGTATTCTGTGACAGCTGTCAGACTCTTTACATTGGGGATGGAAGTGTCAGCAAAGAAGCAGAAGCTGTTACCGAATAACACAGATCTCTCAGCTTCTTTCATGATTTACATTTTGTAACAATATTGTTTTATTTTGTTTTCATTTGAGATACATGTGCGGGGGAAGCCAGAGAGCGGTAAATGACAGCTCTTCCGCTTGTTGTGTTTCATTTCTGAATATAATTTCAGTTTGGAACAAAACGAATTGTTCATATCTAGTTTGGAATAGATCAGTGTTCCTGGATGCATGGTAGAGGGCCACTTACAGATACCGATGCTGCCACCCGGTCATTAACTTGAATGGCTGAGGGGAGCCACATCTAAATGAAATATTTGGGAGTCCTGCACATTTAAATCAGTCCCTGCCCTCAAGGAGCTTACAATCTAAGGTCCCTATCACAGTGAGAACATTCAAATCCCTTGCAGATAGTGTCCTGACCGGGATATAAACCCAGGGTCCCACAGTGCGGTCAGGCAGAAGCGCTAACCACTAAGCCACTGTTCTACCCAAAGTTTGCTGGGAGCCAAACTCTGCACCGAACCCAAACCCAAACCCAAACTTCAACTTTATTTTTCAACTCTTGATTTATGAAATTGCTGACAATAATTGTACAAGTGCTACATGATTTTAAAAAATGTGCTATTTACTGATGCATCACATTGTATTGTCTGTTTTTGTGGTAGAGCAGAGGCTGTCACCAGTATACCGAATGGGCCTGAAGGACAAGAAGTCAGCTGTGTTTAAATATCTCTCACTGCAATCATAACTTTATTTGAAGCATAAGGAACTCCTGAGACTGTCAGACATTTCAGACATAACATGCGTCCCCAATGGATCCATTAATAAAGTTAAAATATTTTTACCCCTGTTAAAATGGCACTACTCCCAAACATGAGGAGTTTACTTGTCTTGATTCTGTCCCATTACTTAGACATCTTACAATCCAGAACATAATAGTATTTGGGGCTCAATTAGACTGTGTCTATCTGAGGCAACTTTATTTAAACATAAACGAAGTGGAGGCTTGGGAGTACCCAAGTTCACTAAATATTACCAGGCAGTGCAGGTTTTTTCCCTTACTAAGTATCATGTGATCTGAGAAGTTCCTCTATGGGTTAATATTGAAGAGGTTGTCAGGGTTTCTTACCCTTCCTTTTCCAGTTGCTTGCTGCATGACTTGTATAGTGTTTTTTAGGGATGCTCCGATACCGATACTAGTATCTAGTGTAGTATACTAGTATATACTATATACATACTAGTATATAATATATAGTATATACTAGTATACTAGTGCCGATACTGAGTATTTGGGGGAGTACTCCTACTCGCCCAAATGCTCCGATACCTAGCACGAGTACTTCCTGTATCAGGAAGCCGGGCATTACACGCTGCCCGGTTTCCTGATTGGCCAGGAAACGGCTCCAGGAAGCTAGCAAATCCGGAAGCCGGGTGCCGTGTAACAACACAGCACCCAGCATTCTGATTGGCCGGGAAGCCGGCGTCATGCTCCCTCGTCATCTCATGAATCATAATATTAAGAAAGTGACCTTAAAGCATTAGTTTGTATTGCTTTAGAAAAAATGTGGCCTGTCCCTTTAAGAAAAAGTATCGGTAATTGGTATCTGCGAGTACTTGAGCAAAAGTATCGGTACTCGTACTCGGTCTTAAAAAACTGGTATCGGTGCATCCCTAGTGTTTTTGATACTGCCATTCCTCTTTGGCACCCTCTTATGACCAAACCCGTTAACATCATCATTCTGCTACTAGTAGGAAAACTCCTGACAAATTTTTGCCTCAGAGTGATAATGCAAACACCAGCTCATTATTTAACCATCAGCTTGTCCATGCAGTCTCCGGCCTAGTTTTTGTTCTGATCTACCAAGTGTTCTGCAGTTCCTGTTTCTGTGTATGACCCTGGCTCTGGCTGACTGATCTTCTGGTTCCTGACTCCAGCTATTGTTTCCATTCATCCTGCTCTCAGTGTTCCCTGACCTGGTTCGGCTGACCACCCGCTTTGGCATCTGACCTTTGGCTTGGCACTGACAACGTCCTGTACTTTCTCCATTGTTTTTTGCATTTTTTGTTCATTGTTGTTTTCAGTGAACTCCTTTTATTTGTTAAACCTGCACTTTAGGTTTCTGCCTGGTTTCTTGGTTCTCTAAGAGGTGGATTGTGCCCATTTATATACAGACAATCTGCATTTAAATGCCTACCAGGTCCCCTTGCACTTATCCCATTATTGCTCACTCTCAGTCAGCTGGACTGGTTTCCCCCCACACCCCATTACTTTCCTTCTTGCACAACCACTCTTTTTACCCTGGCTAATTATTCCCATCCTACTTCTCCACCTGGACGAAGCTGGAGGTTTCTAGAGTCTATCAATTGGTATCTGATTAGGTTGTCAAATCAGTTATAAAAAATATAAACTCCCTTTGACCAAAATATTTAGATATTTACAAAAATAAACACTTCCTTATGTCCCATCTCAGGTCGTTGG